TTAGAGTGATTTCTTAGTACTCACCAGCTCTTAACTTAACACGGCTAATAAGTCTCCACCAGTCTAGTAGTCTCGTAATAGTGTTAATCATTTGGTAGAGGTGGACTGTGATAGGTCCATTTTGCTTCTATGACACGGTTATCATCCTCGACTACTACTACAGGCCTCATTGTCGTCGGAGGCGCATTAGTATTCGCTGCTGGGGTTATAGGCTCTCTGAAGAATAAAGTAATACTATTACTGTTAGCAAGAAGGCACATATAGGGTGTAGTAGGTGAGGGCACTAGAGGAATTGCTAGCACATGAGACTGAGAAGAGGTTAGCTGAGAGGACAGGTAGGATAAGAGCAGAGAAAAGGCTTGAGGGAGGCCTTACACAACATGGCTGTAGTAGTGATGAAAATGATGAGGAAGATCGTAGACTTGATTACCCTATGTAAGGGATGGTCATTACTACAGTAGATAGTAGTGTTGTAAGGTATACGTTGGGTACCTGTCGTAGCTGTTTTCCGAGACGTAATGGTACACCTCGACAGAGTGGTATAGCAGATATAGCTAAAGGTGTTATAGAGATACGCCCAGCAGTTAACCCTAGTAGCTGTTTACAAGGCCTACAGGGGTAGTAGTAGTAGTAGTAGTAGTAGTAGTATACAAGAGTAACATTATTGGTATTAAGATAGTAGTGATCAGGTACTCCCATGTATGGGTTATATACGTATTCCACTTGAATACCAATCTTGCTAAGAGATCCTCTAACTTCAATGGTCTCAAGGGATTAGTCTCTCCTCCACGTAATATGATAGTACCACTCTTGCTGGTATGTGTTATTAGGTAACCATAGTGGGGCTAAGGTAGGCTCATTAGCATGTAGAAGCCCACATAGGCCCAACCCAATAGGCCTCACCCTATGCCGTATACATGATGTTGATGTCAATAAGGGTATTACTATTCATTATTCTATAACGATAACCGGTCTGCTACTAGGTACGGTTACTATATCGGGTTTAGACGTGGTAGATGGTACCCCTGTACTCGATTTAAAGCCATACCTTCCTATGACTGAGTGCCACCCGATGGCCACTGTACCATCTTGGGTAGAGACCAGCTATGAAGAGAATGATCGGTAGTAGGTGGGGAGCACTATCATACCACCATTCATGGTATATGCTATAGATTGCTAGTGGTATGGGAATGTGATCGTAAAGTACCACAAGATGCCGGAGCATACGTCCATATGTCGGAAGAGGAAGTACTGACTCTAATAGATAGTGTAGTGAACGATGCTATTATATTGGCATGCTATGCTAATGATATAGGTGTTATCCCTTGATATACGGAGTAGACATCAGAAGGATGTTATAGCTCGCCACCGTCCAGGATGGGAGGGAGAAGTAGAGTTATGCTATCTCAAGATACTGTACTATGTGTACTCCTCATCTCCTAGTGTATACTACATACAGGTACATGATAAACCTGGACCGCCAAGTGGTAACTGTAAAGTCGATAAACAAGGTTAATGTTCCTTAATAGATGTTTCTAAGGGAAGCATGAGAATCGAGTATAGTGCGACGTGTTAGGAAACTCTTGTGTTAGCGGCATATAGCAACACCCAATATCACTATAACACTACTCCGTATACTGTTACTTTCATAATACTACGACTGTTGGTAGATTGGCTAAAGCCACTTCAATATTCCATGTAACATTGAGGAGACATCATTCATATATTATAGGGTACCTATAAACGAATACGTCCTATATTAAGTTTATCATTCGTACGATATCGCTACAGTGTGGGAGTAGACGATCCCCATTCTAAGTGGGAGAACTACCCTCTCCCATTTCTGCGTTATCCCTTATAACCTGTGCTATACCATCCATTATCATTCGGATACGTGTCGTTTTATGTGCCCTGATAGAACAGGTTAGGGGATACGGTGTTAGCTCTATTACCGGCAATACTCGTCCATCTTGGCCTTGATTACCTCTACGAAGAACTGTGATCGGGTAAGGGCAACTGCCTTAGCATTAATGCACAGCCTTGATAGAGCGATAACAAAGCAGCATACCTAGGGACTATGATGGGAAGCATACAGTACTTGATCATATTTACTATATTAATGTTAGAGCTGTAAAAGTCATAAGACCTTTCCGCTGTCCATAATGTAAAGCATTTATAACTAGGTAATGATGAACTCATTCTTCTGGATGAGTACCCTATAGGCCTATGTAACAAGTATGCTCGAGATAATACACCAAAGTCTATGCGTATCTACATAGAGTTAGCAGTAGGGACCATCCCCACAATACATCCACCTACAACATCCTCTATACGAACGCCTCGTCCTCTACCAATACTAACATCACCAGGGACATACCACAGCAATCTCCTAGTTGTAGTATCATATCGTGCATTCCTATGAGGGTATTCTATCCTGGACTATGCTGGTAGTGGTATTACACTGTATGCATCTCATTCCTTCTCCCTAGCATCATCTTCATGATAAGCTGACCCCGTTGTATTTCCAATATCTCTCGTACACACTGATGGAGGGTTGGTGTCAACCGCCTCGGCAAATGCCTATGGTGTGACACCTAAGAGGAGGTAGACTGCATCTCCTAGTGTTCCACTATTACCATTCCCTTCGCGGGGCCAACAGCTTTAGCATTGCCTTTCCTGATAATGATTATGATTAGGATCATCATATTGATGTTATGAATAGCCTACAAATGACCTATCTCTTCCAATAAGCTCTCCTTCTCCTCTTTCCATGTAGCCAACTTCTTCTCATAGACCTTCTTCTGTGCAAGCCATGCTACAGCTGACTGTAGATGTTGCTGCCGTTCAGCTTGCCATATAGCAGCCTCTTCTGCATGACGTTGGCTCATCGATAATATATTATCCTCCGACACTTGTGTTTCCTGTCATTGTATACTATTCAAGACTACTATACGATCTGCCGCAGCCGCCACCCTACATCTTTATGAGAATGCTGTAGATTGACAGTTGCTCCCATCATCTGATGCCTCATGGATGATACTTCGGTCCGTAACTCATCCAAACCAACGCTAATGCCTGAGGGTGAGTACACTACTACATAGTGTATTAATAGCAGCATACCTAGGTTAGCACCACCAATGCCTCTGGCTAGGTCCGCTATCTTCTCTACGAATGTTGTATACCGTCTAGTCTGTGATGCCAATCTATGCTGTGCTCGCAGGAGGAGTACTCTATTACGGCATAATAGGGATACTAACCCTGATATGAGTAGATAGGCAATAGCGTACTGCCCAACTCCATCACTATGCGTAATTACGTTGTTCCTTCTCCTGACTTTTCTCTGCTTTCTCTGCTAATGAGGATAACTCCTCGATCTGAGTATGCAATGCAGATGACTCAGCAAGGTGAGCAGCTAAGTCCTGTGTAACCCTTTGGAGATCGGCCTGTCAGGCATGGTAGACGCCCCGAGCCTCCCAAAGCCGTAGTACTACCTCCAACATCTCCACCTCATAAATCTTATCCCTCTCCTTCCTGTAGGACTCCTCTAGTTTCTGCTTGAGATGTCTGTTATGATCCTCCGACTCGGATAGTTCCCGTTGTAGGTTGGACACAGTGTCGTGTAGAGTTGCCTG